CGTCACGTGTAATAATAAAATAATAATAATAAATAAAACAACATCGCCGCGCACACCAAACAGTTGCAATTAAAGTAGAAGCAGATGTACATACATCGTATAAACGGACGCAGCACACACAGACAAATACGTACAAATTCACTGTATCCTTTTTGTGTAGTCCAAAAACGCATCGTTATCCTGCTGCGAATCTGTACTAGCGTTAGTTAGAGTTCAGACGCGTGCCTAACCCCCTAGTTTCTTTACTGCGTTGCGTTATTACCTTGGAAAAGTCGTATACATTTATATTTTCGTTAGCAGGCGTACTTATGATTTTTTATGAGGGCGCATGTAAAAAGTGTATGGATTTGCACATTATATATATATAAATAGTGCGCGTACAACGACTTGCATGGTTTTTTACAGTAACTAGCTGATATTGCTTGTTAACATGTTTTTTTCTCGGGTCCGAAACGAAAGCGACACGCTACAGTCTAGTCTCTCTGTCTAATTCATTTATGTTCCGTTATCCCAGTGGGGAACATCTATAAAGAACTATCAAAAAGATGTATTGTATCCTTGCTAGAATACAATGTATACTCGCCATGATCCCAGTACAATACATGTAGCATGCTTACGCAAAATCTGCAACTATATCACCTTTAGTCACCATCATACCTTTTGTCCAATTAGTCCGGGTAGTCCGATATCGCCCTTGTCACCTGGTTTGCCCTATAGGTAAGTAGATTGCGTGCAATATAGTAGCCATCGTGGCAGCATGAACGCGAAACAGCAGTGAATCGTTTAAGGCAGAATCAACTCACACTACATCACATCTGACGCAGCTCAATATATAGCCATAAACTGCTGCGACCATCACGTAAATACAATTGTATTTCAAATCACGAACCTGAAACACGCAAGCGCCGTCAAGCCCTACTAGTAGTGTGCATAGAAAGAGAACTGGCGTGCGAGGCCCTGCCATTTTACCCGCGAATTCGAGAACGAGAGCAAACGGGGGAGTGATGGAGCAAACGCTCGAGCGGGAGAAAGCAGGAGTCTAATATGAACACATGAAACTAATTTACGCTGTTTATGATGTGAAGATGGTAAAAATAGAAAGAAGGAACGTTTATGTTGCGCCAAATGAAAGTGATTGACACCGCGAGTATACGCGCGTGCCTGTGATCCTAACGCGATTCATTCGTGCCAGTCTCATCTGTATAGAAATATAATTATTTTCACACACACACACGGCGCGCCAAACTTCGCGCGCCATGACATCATCGCAGCAAACAATAACACGAGATTAACTGGGATAACCGCCCAAGGCCATCTCTCGGCAGCCCAGCTTTTTCTCCGTCGATCTAAATCGCGGGCGCATTTGTGAAAACACAGTTTGTATATCATTAGAGCCGAGTGTGTTTATTTTAAAGTCAAACGGTAGCAAAAGAACAAACGCTATCACAGTGAGATATATGGGAGCAGCAGAGGCAGCAGTAAACGTCGACATGCGCAAGAACCGCGGACACGTTTATGGGGAGATGACATGTAAATGATAGACCGACACGCAACGTAATCTTAATAATAAAAATGCGTCGGCGTGCAGGGTTCCGGGATGATTTCTTACAAATCAAGTAACCGTACGCATCTTTTACGAAATATTTTTGGAAGCCGGTCATCCGCCATTAATTTTCCACATCACGCCTGTTATTTCAGTAGAATATATACACGCTCTATCCGTGATAGCAACACCGCTGCTCAAAAATCGAAAGAAAATAAAGACACCGTGCATAACATATTCATTAACTCTAGATAGCGGCATGTAGAGCAACACAATGAGCGCAACATTTCTCTGCTACTATCCCCAAAACCTTATTGTGGCTTGCCACGATGGGGTTATGACTTGCATTGACTCTCCGAGCACAATATAACGGATACGGAAATGACAACTAACGATGCAATTATACGATAAACCACAGCAAGGTTCAGGATTCATGTGAAATGGACACATTAACGGGCGAGTGCGTATAACAAGAGAGCAAGCTGATTACCTTTGTTCCATCGTCACCTGTTGGTCCGCGTTCACCGGTCTCTCCTGCCGGACCCTGCAACATGAAATGCACAATGATAATTGATTAGAGTTTAGGTAATTAATTTGACGCATTCGATCACAAAACTAACTCCGATGCGAATTCGGCAACTTAAAGCGTCGATAATGTCGATATTATTCAGCACAAATTTTTTCAACGTGTTTTTTTTCTCACGTCGTTCGGTGAGCTAGCGATCTGAATGATTATGGTATTCATGCAACAGCAACTATAGATGGTAATTAATCACGACATTATTGCAGTCGTACCTGTTCACCCGGCTTCCCTGGAGCGCCAGGCCGATCTTTCGCCTGTGTACATAGAAAGCAAATATTCTCATTAGATTGAGCCTTACATAAAGAGTCTGGGTGTGCAGTTGAAACCGAATTCTGCAGACAATACGCCACAGAAACAGCGTCGCCAGCGGGTGTACATGACAACGACAGAGTAATAATAGTCGAGCGTTAGATCTCTCGTGGCCTCGTAAATAGATCCGAGATCTAACACACATGTTATCTCTCTGTATATAGTCTGCTCTCACAGTGCATGGCTGTGATGCGGAGCGTCACAGCTCAGGTGCGGCCAGGCGGGATATACTCTCAATGAACCATAGCCCTTTAGCGGGGTCGTCATTGAGAAGTTCTACGATGTCCTTTAAGCCACACACATAATTTCGTTGTTTTCCGTATATCGGACAGCATAGTAGGTGTTCCACTGTCTTTTTTCATCACACCCCGCCAGACACTTCCCCTTATCGTCAGGTAGGGATTTGTATCTGGCTAAGAAATGGGCATCCAGGGATGACTTTCCAGTTCGTAGCTGATGGACACACATGCTGCTACGTGATATCATAACCGAGTGCATGATATATGATTAAGGTAAGGAATTTACAGACGTCCGCACACGCACGCATGCATTCCCGCACGCCATCGCGCGCACACACATGCATGCACACACCTCCAAGTACACATACACACGCACGCACTCACACGCACGCACACGCTTGTGCGCACGCAGGCTAGCATTCGTATACGCAATCCAACATTCAGGCAGGCATGCACGCACGCACGCACCAGCGCGCGCGTAGTGTGTATTATCGCGGTGTAAACGATTGTAGAACGGACCGACGAACATTACGAAGAAACAACGAAAAAAGAAAGAAGAACACAACATCTCTGTAGCTAGATTGACGCTAGCCAGCGAACCCAGTGAAGGCGCGTTGACATCTGTTTCATGACGTCTTTTTGTACGTCTACGTCCATACAAGAACTTTTTAGTTACCAATTCAGTCAACACTGGATGGGAACAACGCCTCATCGCGCATCTGTAGAACTGCACAGCGTATTTCATTTATATTCCGGCACGTGGCATTCCACTCAAGCTTCACCCGAGCCCTCCCTATGCTCTCTGCGAGCGCAAGACTGCCAAAGTACCACGACAAACGCCGGATGGGCGATAGAGAGATAACACCCTTGCATCAGTCAGCTTCTACATTTGGCAAACATCGGGTCTTCACACTTAGGGCTAACGCTCCATTAGGAGTGTTCCCAACTTTGATATCATTAATGATTAATGATTAATGATTAATGATTGATAATTCTAACCCTAACCCACTAATATATGACCATAATTATATATATATATAATTATGTTATTATGACCATTAATGACATTAAAGTTGGGAACACTCCTAATGGAGTATTACCCCACTTAGAGCTGTAGCGCTATAAGCTGGATTCCCTATAGGTTGACACACGCGTCTACATCGTAACGTTTGTAATGCGCCGGGAATTGACAGCGTTACTTATGAGGAGTTGCAACTGTCATTTCCTACCTGCCACTTCAATAGCGCTTATATGTCTCAGATGCATGTCTTAGATGTATGTCTCAGATGTATGTCTCAGATGTATGTTTCAGATGTATGTCTCAGATGTATGTTTCAGATGTATGTTTCAGATGTATGTCTCAGATGTATGTCTCAAATGTATATTAGAAAGAATCACTGCTGGACATGCAAGCCTCTCCTATACGTTTCATTCGGGAACGTTGAATTTTTGAATGTTGAACAGCAACCGGGGATGACAAAGTCCAGGGGCTCAAGCTGGGCAACCGGCATTTTATCAAGAGCTAATAATACCAGGAGTGAAGCATAATAGATTCTATATAATAAATTCTAGATAATAGACATAATAAAATAAATAATAATTTGTCGGGCGCGCCCGAAATCGTGGTGAGTGTGTATAGATATAATAGATAATATATATTATATATATATATATATAATAGATATATAATAGAATCTAGATAATAATAGATCTATTATTACTCACTCCTGATAATACCTAAAGCTAATGCGAACCTATGAGCTAATGTATAATGAGCTTTTCGTTTTATAATACAGACGAGGGGAAGACGGAGGTGCGGGATCGCCAGCGTTGTGCTCGCAGTCGTAGTCGCCTGATGAAGTTCTATCCTACCGTTCGTCCGTATTTGCCCGGAGGCCCCGGTCTGCCTGGAAAGCCTACATCCCCTATCTTGCCCATCGGTCCTATTCGACCCGGCATCCCGACCGTCCCTCGATCTCCCTGAAATGAAAAATAGCACAAGTTGTTTACTCCCAGTATCAGTAGATCTCCTGGTATTATCAGTAGTCAGTGTTATCATAAGTTTGTATGTAACGTTGATCGATATTTCAATCACTAATTAATGGTATATCAACTACCTAACTAACTAACTAGCTAGCTAACTAACTAACTAACTAACTAACTAACTAACTAACTAACTAACTAACTAACTAACTAACTAACTAACTAACTAACTAACTAACTAACTAACTAACTAACTAACTAACTAACTAACTAACTAACTAACTAACTAACTAACTAACTAACTAACTAACTAAGTAACTAATTAACTAACTAACTAACTAACTAACTAACTAACTAACTAACTAACTGTAGTATAGACGCTTCGCCATTTCCAAAACAAGCCGATTTACAAACAATCTTGTGTTCTGCAGATTGCTCAATGTTCGGCGATCATAAAAACAGTAATTTGCAGGGTAGAGCGTGCCTTTATGGCTCTCTACCGGGGCTACAATTTTATGGCCGCCGTCATGAATGGCACGCGCGACAAGTTAGCGACACACTCGGGTCTCCTTCGTCAACGCTGTTGGTCTCTTTTCGCCGCACCCTGCGTTTCTCCCGATTTCAGCTATCTGTTCCTTTCCTCCGTTCTATCTCCCGAGACACCACACCGCCGAGTGATTTCGGAACGATCTGCATACGAAGGTAATCGTTTACGTTGTACGCGATACGCGCGCGGAGAGGCGACATACGAGTCGCCACTCTCTCGATAACCTCGTATGCGGATCGGGCGTGCCACGCGGCGCGTACAGCTATACCATATTGCACGCGAGTAGATATTTTGTTAGTGTTTATAGTCTAATCTAATACACGCACGTATAGTGAATCTCACAATTCTGTGTTCTTGTCATTCATCGACGCTACCAGTCAGCTACCCTTAAGGGAAACTCTATCTCCCATAAGCCGAACCGAGAACCTGGGAGGCACGCGATCACGCCTTGCTACATAACTAACTAATTAATTAATTGACTAATAAACTAGTTAACTAATTGACCAATATTTAAGTCGGCTAATCAATGGTTACCTCTCTTACAGGCGTGTGTAAGAATTTAGCTTGTAAGTTGGAACCTATATGAGATATCTCTTACCTTGATGCCTCTACGACCGCGGGGTCCCCGTGGACACTGCACCGGACATTGATTCTCATTCGTAGCCTCCTGATCATCCGACTGCATAAACGATAAAGAAATCACGTATGAGGTTGTCTTAAAGATCCAAGCACAGGACCACGCGTGTGCTGATGAAATCCGAATAGTAAAGCATACGAACAGCTCTGCGTTAACTAGATAGACTTATGATATTATTCGATGAGCTAATCGTAATTGATCTACTCGTGAATAAATGGCTAATTATGATTGGGTATAGGTACGATTGGAATAATACGATTGAAAACTGAAGTCGAGTGACATGCCAGGAAGAGGAACGTCTGCGGTTAAATTAATATAACAACACGGTGTGCTCTTCCAACATTACGTGTCCACGAAGAGTTATGACGTCATCGATATTAGCGTGGCTGTCACCTACCTTGTCTGGCTGTTCGGGTCTGGGTAGTTCGTTGCATGTTTCACGCAGTGGTCGAGTTGGATCGCACTCCATCACGAGCCACTGTATGTCGATCTGTGAAATCCCGCATGATCATATAGTTACTCTCCTGCACTGATAATTACACCGTTAATTATTTTAATTATGATTACGTAATTATTACAGCGCTTCCTTCGTTTCTGATTTGGAAACCTGTAGATGCTATCTCGTATATTAGCTAGTTTATTACAACGGGATAAAGAAAATGCGTGGCTGAACGGCAAAAACCAGGACCAAGCGCGGGGAAAAACGACCACAACAAGAGTAAGGGCCACAGAATATTCATTCGTGCGCAAGAAAACGTCAGTCAACGTCGTTATAGCTGCCAATAAGGATTAAGCTACTGTAAGCACATCTAAGAGTTCTAGAAAAAATGCATGTGAAGTGGATAGAACGTGGGGGCCTATATAAGGTGGGGGCACGCCTATATAACTTTTCAAAAAAACCACGTTGCAAAATAATGGATTCTTGTCTATACTTGTCTATATTACTTGTCGATACTTTATTCTATTGCAACTGGGTAGATTTTTGCCACATTCTGTGAATAAAGGCTCTGCAGTCACAAAACAGCAGCTTCTTCGCGTTGCTTCCCTCCGGATCTCCGTTTATTCCCTTTTGCCCCCCTAGATCCGCCCCTCCGGATCCGCCCCCCTCCCCCTAGATCCGCTCTCCCAGATCCGCCGCTCCAGATCCGCCCCTCCGTATCTGCCCCTCCAGATCTGCCTCTCCGGATCTGCCCCTCCGGATCCGCCCCTCCGGATCCGCCCCTCCGGATCCGCCCCTCCAGATCTGCCCTTCCGGATCCGTCCCTGTGTGTACTCACCGGTACAGCACTTCTTCTGTTCACCTTGCGTGCGATCTTGATCACTCCGTTCGCGTCGATCGGACCACGTGGTCGCGTCACGGCGACGTCGACGGGCGCACAGTCGATGAAGAGCTGTACCTTCTCCCGGCCCATGGTCAGCGAGAGCTTGTGCCAGTCGTTATCGAATATCTGCGTTGTAACCATAGAAACACACACATATATATATATATATATTAGAGAGAGAGAGAGAGAGAGAGAGAGAGAGAGAGAGAGAGAGAGAGAGAGAGAGAGAGAGAGAGAGAAGGACGGAGAATGAGAGAGAGGGAAGAGAGAGCGAGAGAGAGGAGAAAAGAGATGGGGAGAGAGAGAGAGAGCGATAGAGAGAGAGAGAGAAAGGAGGGAGAGAGGGAGGAGAGAGAGAGAAAGACGAGAGGCGAGAGAGAGGAGAGAGAGAAAGAGAGGGAGAAGAGGAGAGACATAATTTTTATTATCAAAGTAGAACTTTGCTAATACCGCTAGCGTAAAATGTAGCATGAGTACTCGCGTGGGGGGGGGGGCGACGACATTGTGACGTAATAACCGAACAGCTTATATATATCACGATATTCACGTGTGCGTACCGGAAAACCAGATGTAAACGCGCGAAGTCGATGGATGGGTGGGGTGGGGTGGTCGTCGAGTGGAGGCTGTAGTTTAATTACTATGCCTAACAATTACCATGATCCTATCAGGAGTGAATAATAATAGTTTAGCTCACTCCTGCGAATAATAATAATAAATTAATATAATGTGTGTGTGAATAATAATAATTATCTTGTAAAAATCCGTGAATAATAATAATCTTACAAAAATCTGTGCGTAATCATAATTATCTTGTTAAAAATCGGTGAATAATAATCATTATTATCATTATTATTCACTCCTGATTCCAATAATAGTTATCGGCTCATCTCAGGCAGCTCACAACGCGATACCAGCATGTGTCTGGTGCAGCTGGGTATGTGCTCTCCTTACGCTCTCTCGCATCAACAACTTAGACTCCATCGAGGCGTGAAATAAACTATTGCGCGATATGCATCCGTAATAAAATTTAGTTACGTTCCAATACACTTCGCGTGTGTGTAAAATATACAGCAGCGCGATTCATAAATAAATGAACATCGCGCGAGATATAAAATGCAGTAGCAGCCCGAGGGAGTTAGGCTCTAGCGTTAGTTTCAGCGTGCGATAAATTAAAGATGCCAAACGACCGTACCTAGATATAGTTAGTACCAAACGCACACACGGGGATTCTTTCGTCGAGGTTTTTTGTCGCGTGGATAGTAAGCTGTATGGGCAAGCCCGAGTGGAGACGGGAGAAGCATGCCAGCTGGTGATCAGAGGCAATTATATGCGCAGAGATGCACTCACGTCAACATCTTGAAAAATCTGCGTTTGCAGTTGACCTCGGAAATCCAGCGAATGCACTTCGAGCGTTCGCTTCCTCGCGTCGACAATCACGCCGAATTGCGGCCGGCCGGTCTGTCCCTGGATGTTGATTAGGTGCCATACTTCCTTCTTGGTTTTTCTCTTGCGGAATGTCGCACCGAATGAGAATTCGTGAGGCAATCCGTCCGGGAATAGCTGTCTGCAAAACATGTAGCGGCATATATCTTTACGCGGTTAATAGACCCATGCCTAATCATGAACCAGAACAGCTTGTCAGTAAAAACAATACTAGAGATAGAGAGAGAAAAGGGGAGAGAAAGGGAGACAGAGACAGATAGATAGATAAATAGATAAATAGATATATGTATATATATATAGATAGATAGATA